GAACTGCAGGAGGCCAAGAGAGGAATATGATGAGAACAACAGAGCGATGGTGGACACACTGGCTGAGGTGGCACAAAGAGCTCAATCGTCCAGAGCAAAGTTACTGGTTATGGGTGATTTCAACCACATGGAGATCGATTGGGAAAATCCAGAGCCTCATGGGGGCCCCGAAACATGGAGAGCCAAGATGATGGATGTGGTACTGGAAAACCTCACGCATCAACACATCAGGGACACTACCAGAGAGAGAGGGGAGGATGAACCAGCAAGACTGGACCTTGTGTTCACCCTGAGTAGCTCAGACATTGATGACATTACATACGAGAGGCCCCTCGGAGCTATTGACCACATAGTCCTGAGTTTTGATTACATAGTAGAGTTACAGGTGGAGAGGGTAACAGGAGTCGAATGGGAAAAGCCAAACTATAAAAGGGGGGACTACACAGATATGAAGAACTTCCTGTGGGAGGTGCAGTGTGACAGAGAAATGGTAGGAAAGACAGTAAATGAAATGATGGAGTATGTAACAACAAAATGCAAGGAGGCAGAGGAAGGGTTTGTTCCCAAGGGCAACAGAAACAATGGGAAGACCAAAAGTGCAGGGAGGCAAAAACTAAGTGCATTAGAGAATGGAAGAGGTATAGAAGGCAAAGGACCCGGGAAAACAAGGAGATCAGTCGAAGAGCCAGAAACGAATATGCACAGATAAGGAGGGAGGCCCAGCGACAGTACGAAAATGACATAGCATCGAAAGCCAAGTCTGACCCGAAATTGCTGTTTAGCCACATTAGGAGAAAGACGACAGTCAAAGGCCAGGTAATCAGGCTGAGGAAAGAAGATGAGGAACTCACAAGAAACGATCAAGAGGTATGCGAGGAGCTCAACAGGAGATTTAAGGAAGTATTCACAGTGGAGACAGGAAGGACTCTGGGAAGACAGGACAGAGGGGGACACCAACAGGGAATAGACCAACAGGTGCTGGACGATATGCACACAACTGAGGAAGAGGTGAAGAAGCTGCTAAGTGACCTTGATACTTCAAAGGCAATGGGACCGGACAACATCTCCCCGTGGGTCCTCAGGGAGGAAGCAGATATACTGTGTGTGCCATTAACCACAATCAACATCCCTTGAAACTGGGCAACTACCTGAGGTATGGAAGACCGCAAATGTAGTTCCCATTTTTAAAAAAGGATACAGAAAAGAGGCACTAAATTACAGACCAGTGTCACTGACGTGTATAGTATGCAAAGTTATGGAGAAGATTATCAGGAGAAGAGTGGTGGAGCACCTGGAACAGAACAAGATTATAAACGATAACCAGCAAGGATTCATGGAAGGCAAATCCTGTGTCACAAACCTTCTGGAGTTCTATGACAAAGTTACAGAAGTGCGACACGAGAGAGAGAGGGGTGGGTTGATTGCATTTTCTTGGACTGCAAGAAGGCCTTCGACACAGTTCCTCACAAGAGACTAGTACAGAAACTAGAGGATCAGGCGCGTATAACAGGAAAGGGCACTGCAATGGATCAGAAATACATGACAGGGAGGTAACAACGAGTCATGGTACGGGATGAGGTATCACAGTGGGCACCTGCGACGAGCGGGGTCCCACAGGGGTCGGTCCTAGGACCAGTGCTATTTCTGGTATATGTGAATGACGTGATGAAAGGGATAGACTAAGAGGTGTCCCTGTTCGCAGATGATGTGAAGTTAATGAGAATTAAATCAGATAAGGACCAGACAGGACTTCAAAGAGGCCTGGACATGCTGGACACGTGGTCCAGCAACTGGCTTCTTGAATTCAACCCTGTCAAGTGCAAAGTCATGAAGATCGGAGAAGGGCAAAGAAGACTGCAGACAGAGTATAGACTAGGTGGCCAAGGACTGCAAACCTCGCTCAAGGAGAAAGATCTTGGGGTGACCATAACACCGAGCATGTCTCCAGAGGCACACATGAACCAGATAACTGCTGCAGCATAAGGGGGCCTGGCAAGCCCGAGAATAGCGTTCCGATATCTAGTAAGGAATCGTTCAAGACACCGTACACTGTGTACATCAGGCCCATACTGGAGTATGCAGCTCCAGTTTGGAACCCACACCTGGTCAAACACGTCAAGAAATTAGAGAAAGTGCAAAGGTTTGCAACAAGGCTAGTTCCGGAGCTCAGGGGAATGTCCTACGAAGAAAAGTTGAGGGAAATCGGACTGTCGACATTGGAGGATAGGAGGGTCAGAGGAGACATGATAACGACATACAAAATACTGCGTGGAACAGATAAGGTAGACAGGTACAGGTTGTTCCAGAGAGGGGACACAGAAACAAGGGGTCACAATTGGAAGCTGAAGACTCAGACGAGTCATAGGGATGTTAGGAAGTATTTCTTCAGTCATAAAGTCGTCAGGAAGTGGAATAGCCTAACAAATGATGTAGTGGAGGCAGGAACCATACATAGCTTTAAGACGAGGTATGACAAAGCTCTGGAAGCAGAGAGAGGACCTAGTAGCCATCAGTGAAGAGGCGGGGGCAGGAGCTGTGTCTCGACCCTTGCAACCACAATTAGGTGAGTACAATTAGATGAGTACACACGCACACACACATTGGGTCCTCTCTCCCTGCTCCATGGGCTTCATCAAACCTCGTCTTACATAGTTTTAGGACGAGGTTTGATAAAGCTCATGGAGCAGGAAGAGAGAGCACTCAGTAGCAATCAGTGAAGAGGCGGGGCCAGGAGCTGTGACTCGACCCCCACAACCACAAATAGATGAGCAAATAAGTGAGTACACACACTCTCTCCTCGTGGAGAAGATTATCAGGAGGAGAGTGGTGGAGCAACTAAAACGGAGCAAGCTTATAAACGACAACCAGCACCGATTCATGGAAGACAAATCCGGTGTCACAAACCTACTGGAGTTTTATGACAAGGTAACGGAAGTAAGACACGAGAGAGAGAGAGACGGGTGGGTAAATTACATTTTCTTGGACTGCAATAAGGCCATCGACACAGTTCCTCACAAGAGATTAGTGCAAAAGCTAAAGGATCAGGCACATATAACAGGAAGGGCACTGCAATGGATCAGAGAATACCTGACAGGGAGGCAACAACGAGTCATGGTACGTGACTAGGTATCAGAGTAGGCGCCTGTGACGGGTGGGGTTCCACAGAGGTCAGTCCTATGACCAGTGCTATTTTTGGTATATGTGAATGACATGACAGAAGGGATGGACTCAGAAGTGTCTCTGTTTGCAGATGATGTGAAGTTAATGAGGAGAATTAAATCGGATGAGGATCAGGCAAGACTACAAAGAGACCTGGACAGGTTGGAAGCTTGGTCCAGCAACTGGCGCCTCAAATCTAACCCCGCCAAATGCAAAGTCATGAAGATCGGGGAAGGTCAAAGAAGACCGCAGACAGAGTATAGGCTAGGCAGCCAAAGACTGAAAACTTCACTCAAGGAAAAGGATCTTGGGGTGAGTATAATACCGAGCACATCAATCAAATTGCTGCAGCATATGAGCGCCTGGCAAACCTGAGAATAGCGTTCCGATACCTCAGTAAGGAGTCGTTCAAGACTCTGTACACCGTGTACGTCATGCCCATACTGGAGTATGCAGCACCAGTTTGGAACCCACACCTGGTCAAGCACGTCAAGAAATTAGAGAAGGTGCAAAGGCTTACAACAAAACTAGTCCCAGAGCTAAGGGAATTGTCCTACGAAGAGCGGCTAAGGGAAATCGGCCTGGCGACACTGGAGGATAGGAGGGTTAGGGAAGACATGATAACGACATTTAAAATACTGCGATGAAATAACAAGGTGGACAGAGACAGGATGTTCCAGAGATGGGACACAGAAACAAGGGGTCACAATTGGAAGTTGAAGACTCATATGAGTCAAAGAGATGTTAGGAAGCATTTCTTTAGTTATAGAGTTGTCAGGAAGTGGAATAGTCTAGCAAGTGATGTAGTGGAGGCAGGAACCATACATAGTTTTAAGACGAGGTATGATAAAGCTCATGGAGCAGGGAGAAAGAGGACCTAGTAGCGATCGGTGAAGAGGTGGGGCCAGGAGCTATATATCGACCCCTGTAACCCCAAATAGGTGAGTACAAACAAACACACACACACACACACAAGTAGATACGAGGAAAATTTATGCCTCGAATGTCAGAATTTCAACGTAAATATTTTTTTCTTTATTGTCACAATGAATATCCAGTGAAATGTAGTTTACATTATATTGTGACTCCTCATTATGCAGTAATTATCCATAAAAGTTGCTGTGAGTCAAGACAAAGTCTAGCCACGTGTCACATAGTTTACAGGACAATGACACCTTGTAACCTTTGTTCAGGAACTGCGTACACTTCTTATTTTTACTTTACAATTACAGATTTATTCTCGGGACTGACTGACGGTTCTTCCTGCAACAATTTTCGCTTTTTATTAAAAAAAATTGTACCATTCGTGCAACTTTATTGTAGCGAGAGAATGCCTCGACAGTATACAATATTGAACACGTTTAAAACTTGCAGGATTCCCGTCCACGAACACGCCACACCATATGACGCCACGTGAAATCATTTCTTGTCACTTACATACGTAGAAAATTACGCATTGGTAAAAGAAACTTCGCCTAATTATTTATTCGTTTTCTGTTAAAATAGTTGGTTCCAAGATGGGTGGGGGACGTGTGTAGGCTCCTCCCTACATCTCGGGGAAAAGTACATATATTTAACCACCTATTGCTCATCTTTACATAAGCTCTTATCTTATAGACGAGAAAACTGCTTAATATAATGCGCATTTAAAGGCATTTCCTTTCAAGATAGATATGACAGAAAAAAAATAATGTCAAAACACCTTGAAAGTCTGATCATGTTTGCGCATGCGCCTGATCAGCTGTTAGACTATAGACGTGTAAAACTTTAACACCAAAATACTCTGTATTGACTCCCTGTTATCACTAAGTGGATCTGAAACGCTTTAGAAACTCTTAAGAAACAAGTGTATAATGTATAGAGTTTCTAAATATGTTATTGTCTATTCAGGGTCCCCTATAAATAATAAATTAGCGCTGAAGTCGTATTTGTTTTAGTTTCTTTATGTTGTTAAATTGAGAAGAGATGAGGAACGCCAGAATAAAGGACGCACAAAAGTTCTGATACGTAAATCATGAGAAGGACACTTTAACTGTAATGAAGACGCTTCAAACATTGTAACGGAGGCTGAGTGAGGTGTACAGTATGTTGGAGCTTGAGGTTTATCCAGAACAATCACTGAGCTCGGAAAAATGGGAATTTGTTTTAGGTAAGTAGAGGTGATTGAGATCACCATCATCGTGTTCATTGTTTACATCATGGAATTTATGTGAAGATGGAAAAATGGACATAACCTTTTATTTTAGAGTAAACAGAAATATATAGGAAGAAGATTTAGTGGTTGTTGCCACGTATTAATAACCGAAACAATCAATTAACTGACTTCCCAATGAAATTGATTTACTAGTCAAATATGTATGTACTCTTGGGATATACTATTACTATTTTATTTTACCAGTCTGACTTGAGATTTGCCACACTTAAAATTATTAAAGCGATGAAGGATATATTTTTTTATTGTCGTGTATACTTGGAGATAAATGTCTTTATTTTATACAGTTACAAAAGACTGGTGAAACTAATTTAATTTTCTTCATTTGGTAAACATACTATCTATACATGGCTCCCTTCAAGGGAGTTTCCTTGATGCTCATGAGGGCTCTTTATCCAAGGAATTGGATGTCCTTTTCCCCAGGTGCTGTATGACCACTGCAGGTTTAGCTCTTGCCTTTAAGCATAATAATAGCTAAGTAAGTTATTAATAGTTTTTAGGCACAGGTACACATAACTACAATTATCATATGTAGTGTAAATTACCTAGATAACCCAAAAAGTCAAAGTGACTTATTACCCTTATCAACCTATCTATATATCTACCTGTTAGTCTTTTTGTCTGTCTATTTATATTAGATCATATTTTAATTTCTGTGGCAGAGTAAGGAAAATAAAAGTACTCCCTTCTGTATTCAGTGCATTGTGGAAATAATGCTGTCTTAGGTTAGTACTTAATTTAACTTTGGTTAATGTCTAGCTTCACTTGCATTATTGCCTAACCTAACTTGGGCTAGTAGCTACTTAGCCTTACTGAGGTTGGTACCTAACCTAACCTAACACAGATTAGCACCTAACTTAACTAAGGATAGCACTTAACCTAAGTTTATTTTTTCTGAGAACCTAGCCAAAATTCCTACACATCTGTAGTTATATTGAATGTAGCAATGTAGTTATTGACTTGAATTTAGTGCTATGACATATGTGCAGTAAGAGTTCCACAAGTGTTGACCTTCAGTCGTAGAGTTGTAGAGGTACTGTCTGGTATTACCTGATAATTGTAGGTCAGAGTGATGGGTTATAATGCGTACATCAAAATCCCATACTTTACCTTCCTACTTACAAATAACCTATACTAGCCTAAAATACTTAATTAATTTTGTGTGTATGTGCATTGGCATTGCTGCAATATTTGCATAAGCTACCACTTCTTGTTGCAGTCTTAGGCTTTAGATACTGTTCCCTTTTTGAGTATTGTACTGTGAAAATACACAACATTGAGACAGCAACCATCGTAGTTAAATATTTTGTACTTCTGTCTCATGAACACATAAGATGACAGGTAAATCTAGCAGACTCCTACAGTATACACTAGGGGTGTGCCATAGTATTGGTCTCAGTAGTTATTGCCCAGTTTTGATGATACTGCTGTCAGTTTGGTATTGGCCTAAACCTGGGTATCAGTATCAATGGATGTTGGCCAGTTGTGATGGTGTCAGTATTGGTATTGGTACCAGTATCGATGGGTATCGGCTGACTTTCATGATATTGATATCACCCAAAAATTGAGTATCATTGTTGGTATTTTCCCATTCCTAGTGTGCACCTACATTTACTTTTTTATGTGCTTCTTAATAGTTCTTAATCCCATAGTATTTCCTTTTTAGAGGAAAATTTTATTCCCATTATGTAGACTTACAGGTTTCCATGGCCAACAATGTTATTACAGTAAGACATTTGTGCCAGTCATTAATTCTTCATTGTCACCCAGTGAAATTTCACTATGTTGCCATCTTCTTCAGTCATGTTTTACCAGTTGGTGAGAGCCTAATTATTTTTCTCTTGCGATGCAGTGTCAAAGACATAGCAGTTTGCCTCCATTTCTCTGCCCTGCCTGGTTTCGATTGACCCCTCATGAAATTTAATTAGGTTCATGAGGCAGAGCTTACTACTATCTTTAGATTTTGCCACCCAAGTGGCTAGTTTATTGTGCACCCCATATCCATCCTGTGGACAGTAGCGCAAGAGCATATGGATACACAAAATGCCTAGGAACTAGGCCCCAAAGGGTTAACAGGAATACATATGGATTTATATCTGCATATCTATAGTTCACTTATCTGTTACAAGTAAATTTAGGAAATTTGCTTAGTATATCTAGTATCTTATTTTCATTAATAAGATATCTTGACATGTCACATAGGTTATTATACTGTCTATCTCTGTATTCCTCAATAAGGGGACAATTAAGCACATAATGTTCAAGACAGTGACCATATGCCTGATCACATAATTTACATTTAGTTTGATCATCATCTATGTGTCTCCCAAACTGCCAGAAGTACTTGTAACCAAGCCTAAGCCTGGCCACTACAACATCAGTCAGTCTGTTCACATTGCAAGTTGCTCCATAAACATACCTATGTTCATGTTATCATAGTGGGTTATAGATCTACTCAGGCTTCTTCTAACTGCATTCCTATAACAATCATTTTCATTATTTACTTCTCTCCTAATATTATTCCTAATGCTAGACACAGATATACCAAAGTTATATTCTACATTCTCCTTCTGGGTACTCTTCTTGGCTAACATATCAACTTTATCATGAAGGAGTAATCCAGTGTGTGATGGGATCCATAGCAATTGTACATTAATTCCTTTGTCTCTGATATTTGAGTATCTATACCTGGCTTCTCCAGTGAGCATGTTGTTTGAGTCATTATATGAGTTAACCCTTTCAGGATTCACAGGCCCTCTCAGGGACTTGTTCTCAGGGTCCCCCAAATTTCAAAAAAAAAAAAAAAAAGAAAAAAAAAAAAAAAAAAAATCTTATGAAAATATAGAGAATCTTTTCCCAATCATAATGACACCAAAAGTATGAAATTTGATGGAAAACTTACGGAATTATGTTCTCGTGAAGTTAGCGGTCTCGATGATGTTTATGCATCGGCGATTTTGCCCACTTTGAGCCCTATTTTCGGCCAATTCCAATGTACTAGTCGACAAAAATCATAACTATTTCGCTAGAACTCCATTTTTTCTATCGAATGAGTACAAGAAACCACCAATTTACCGATTTCAGCTACCCAATACAGTGGTCAGAATTTAGCAATTTTGTCAATTTCACACAAATTTCAAAAGATGCCAATTTCCAAATAGGGTTCAGAATAAACAAGAAAGACATTCCTGGCACTAAAATAACATTTCCTCTTTTCATTAGTCACGTCTCCATGCCCCTCTTACATTCTTTTGCTTTCCATTTTGAATTTTTATTCTCACAAAAAATAGAAGATTTACTGTTATGCAGACTACTGCATTAGTATAGAAATGGTATAAAGAATATCGGCGCACTTGTGAAAGAATATTAGACTCACCAGTTGACATGTATTGGACGCTTAGCATGATTTGTTTACTTTTGAACTTTGGTAAAAATCGAACATTTCTGCTACTTTGAGCTCAATTTCAAGGCACTTTTCATTGTAAAACCAGTCAAAATCATCTCAATTTCTGTAATATGTCTTCCATTCTATACAATGAGACCAGGAAAACTAGATTACATACAACAATAAATACCATACGAAAATACAGTGCAAAGTCGCTGTTTTAATCCAAAAACACGGTCATAGTTTTTTTTTCTCTTCGCACTGTGTACTGCAGGATTTTTTTTATACTGCTCACACTGACCACATAGACCCATTCTTTCATATGTAGGCCTACCAGCTTTCTTTCACTAGATTTGAAGGCGCTAGAATTTATGAGTACTAGAACATCAAGGACGCTGGTGCGTAAGCCGTATTAGTACGGCCGAAACTCTGAAAGGGTTAAGAGCACTCAGTGATGACATAGAATCAGTAATGATGATAGAGTCAAGCTCAGTGTCATAAGTTAGCTTTAGTGCCATTAGGATTGCAAACAGTTCAGTTTGCAATGTAGATGCCCAGTTGTTAATTCTTATGCCTAGTTCAACAAGTTTATTATCCTTATTAACTAGGGAGGTGGCAACAAGAGCAGATGCAGCCCTGCCAGAAGACTCCTGTTTAGATCCATCAGTGTATATTACTTGTGATAACTTATTACTACCAGCTAGGTGAGAAATTTCTTCTTGAGCAATTGCTTTAACAAGTGATTTAAGGAAGGGATTACTAGCAATGACCTTCTTGGGAGGCATTTGAGGTATGTGATATTAAATGAGCACATCTTCCATGGAGGGGTGAAATGCTCTTGTTGTCCACAGTGATACAGTTCCTGCAGGTTATAAAACTTAATGCAATTGCACGTTTTCACAATCCATTTAGATCTGTGTGTATTTACTTTTAGACAGTTAGTAAGGTTCATTGTGACAGTGTCTGGTTCATTTCTTAACAAATCCAAATCCGAGTACTGTGTTAATCTCAGCAATCCTATCACTGATACTAGAAATACCAAGCTCCTTCCTCATATTAAGAACCTTTGTAGATTTGGGACAACCAAGAAAAATTCTGAGAGCTTCATCTTGCATTAACTCCATGGGTCAGAGAGAACTTTCTCTAGCTAATATCAACATGGGAGCAGCATAATCAATTAAGGACCTAACATAGGCTATGTACATCATTCTCATGATTCTCACATAGCACCATAGTTGGGGTTGTAGCCAGCAACAGCATTGAGAGCATTTAGCCTATCTTTGCACTTCTTATTTAGTTGTGGTATAGTGGATTTGTTAAAGGGTACATCTACACCAAGATATCTGTAAGTTTTAATGTAGCTAATGTTTTCACATTGCAAATAGATGTGGGGGGGATGTCGTTTACTTGTTAATATCTTTGATTTTAGAGGAAGATATTATGAGGCCTAGTCGATTACAAATTGCTTGAATTTCATTAAGAATGGTGCTCATCTTCTTATGCCCTGTTGTGTGGATCATGATGTGATCAGCATAGCTTATAGCTATATGTTTAGGTGAGGCAGGTAGAGCATTTAGGAGAGCATTAATCAGAATATTAAATAGCATGGGATTGAGAACTCCTCCCTGCGGAGTACCTAGGGACATTTCTTTAGACTCACTTCTAAAGCCTTGGTAGAGGACAGAGGATACTCTATTTGACAGGTATCCTATTATCCAACAGAGTAAGCTACTACCAATATTCATTTTGGCTAGTTCATTGGGTATAATGGTTCTGTTCACAATATCAAATGCAGATTTTAGATCAAGAAATGTGGTAAAACTAGTAGAGGTGTGTGCAGTGAGAAAGGTGGAAATACAGTTCTGCACACTTTTACCTTTCATGAACCCATAGAGGTAGGGGCAAAGTTGGTGTCTGATTCTGTAGTACAGTCTGTTAAGTATCATTCTTTCAAAAGTTTCACAAAGACAACTAGTTAAGGAGATTGGTCTAAATGTATCAGGCTGTTGGGGCTTAGGGATAGGCACAGTGAGACTATTGGTCCAGGAAGTATGAAGAATGCCCTCATTGTAACGGAGAATATACAGTGCCAACAAAGGGTTATCAGGCACTTGTCTTAGAGTTCTGAGAATATCATAGGTTATACCATCCTCTCCAGGAGCAGTTGATCGACCTTTAGTTAATGCATTATCTAATTCATACTCGGTGAAGAGGTAGTCACTCTCATCAGTATTTTGGCTCATAAAATTAATCAGTTTCAACAATTCTTCAGAAGCACTCTAAATTTGTTTTAATATGAGATGGAAGATTTTCATGCCTGGATGTTTTGGACCAGTCATTTATGAGGTCATTTGCTTTTCCGAGAGGAAAGGGATGAGCAACATTGCCAGTCTTTTTCCTTGGTATTTTATTTATACCTTTCCAAGTCAGACTTAAAGGGGTGGACCTATTTAATCCACTAACAAATTGTTCCCATTCCTGTTGCCTAAGTTCTTGCTTTCTCTTCCTTGCATTTGTTAGTGCAGCTTGGAACGTTCTGAGCAGGTCTGGATTTCTACATTCACGGTATGCTTTACCAATCCTCCTAGCTGCATGTGTTAGATTGCGTAGCTGTGGATCATTATAGTATTTACATTGGTTTTTATTGTCAGTTATAGTGGAAGGTCTATGTTTTCTTTTCCTGCCCACTTGATCTGTGAGGACAGTCTCAATAGTGGCAATTAAATCATCATTGAATTGTTGTCTGCCAATGGGCTCGTAATTCTTATACCATTGATCCAAGTGGTTAATAACGCTGTCTCTGTGCTCTGTGCACACAAAACCTGAGGCCAATGTCGCATTGCTTGTCGGTGAGTGAACATTATCCTGGGAGGTCATAGGAAAGATTTTGTAATAATCCATTGATTTTGGCACTTGTTTATTATGTGTGACTGCTAAATAAGCCACCATAGGCCCAAAGAAATCTAGTGCCAGTCCTTTGGTAAAGAAAGTGAGGAACATGAAAGAATTAATGAAAGAAATCATAGCAAAGTACCAAAGTGGAGGAGGAAGAGAGAGTGAAGACTGTGCCTTCTTCAGCGATTCTACGATATGTATGATACTAAAGCATCATAAGTCAATAAAGGCTATAGTGCCAGCCAGCGATAAAGTGTAGCATTAACAGTGTAGCAAGTAAGTTAAGCGATTAGAAAAAGTACAGCACGAACCTAACTCCTCTAATGTTGTTGGAAGTACACCTACCATCCGACTTACGACCTGCTCGACTTAGGACCACTCGACTTACGACCGTGTTTTTTATGCCAAATTTCTGGGAAATAAATAACTATTTGTGTTGTACACAGTGTTTATCCTAAACCTTACAGTATAAAATACAGTACTAACAACATAAAAAGTAAAGTAAAACATGAAATACCAAAATAAAACAATAAAATAAAGTCATTACAAAAAGTCTTGTTGATATTCAGTAGTAAAGTTCGACTTACGACCATTTCGACTTACGACCGGTTTCTTGGAACCGAACTCGGTCGTAAGTCGGATGGTAGGTGTATATAGGGCTACTGACAACACCACCAACTCTGCTGCCGCCTTCACCACCACTGTGTACAACTTCTGCTCTCACTGGCCCTTATACACCCAACAACAACAACAACAACAACAACACACACCACTTGTGACATACGTAATGACATATTTTATTCATTCTAGAGTATAGATGAATTGTGATAGATAAATAAGCCATAGAGTTGATGTTAGTGTCATATTGAAGCATATTGTCCTGTCTCCAACAATAAACTTGCCTCCTCCTCCCCTCCTCGTCTGCCATTCACCAACAAGAGTCTTCAGTGAAGGTAAGTGTGATATTAAATGTTCATTTATACATTTTATTAGTGCTTTATATTTATTTGTCATTCTTTTCTGCATGTAAATCTATAAGCTAAAAGAAAAAAATTTTTGTTAATACTTCTGGGTGTCTGAAACGGATTAATTGGATTTACATTATTTCTTATGGGGAAAATGGTTTCAGTTTTCGTTAATTTCCCATTTCGTCAGACTCTCTGGAACGGATTAATCACAAAAACTGAGGGTCCACTGTATTTCTTTATTTATTTACTACAATAATATGTTTGTAATATCATGTATGTTATTCTCTGCAGTATATTTTATATTTCTTTTTTCCATTTGGCAGGAATGCACTTCAGCCAGGCAGTGGCCATAATACAACATCAGGTTGGCACTATTCGTGGTGTGCAGGTCCTCTACAGCGACACCGTGAGTAGTACCAGGGCAATTTTATGAAGTGTTTGTTAGGAAGTTATACTGTGCTTCCCATATTTTCCATATGCTATTGTATTTCATGAAAAAATCTTGGAGGTACTTTCTTTGTTGATTAGCCTATAACTAATTAATCTATCTATTGTAATTTAAAGTAGTATCAGTTCAGATTTGCTGAGTGTTGTTATTATTGTCTGAGACTGTAAAGGGTACAGATTATTGGAAAACCAGTCTATTGTATTTGGGATCACTGTTGTAAAGTACTAATAAACCACTCAAATGAACTTCATATAAAAGCTGTTTGTGCAAATAAATGTTCATCTGGTTCCATTAAGGTGTATGGTGTCTAAATTAGGATGATTATCATTCACTCCAGAAGAAAACAGACATATTATAAATCTTAGGCTGATCCCTAGCCATCTTTGTTCAGTTTGCTAATACGTACAGTGAACCCTCGATTTAACCTTTTGACTGTCAAGACCCCTGCTCACAAACTTGCTCTCAGTGTTGAAGAATTTAAAAAAAAAAATTATTTTTTCTTATGAAATGATAGAGAATCTTTTCCCGATGGTAATGACACCAAAAGTACGAAATTTGATTGAAACCTTATGGAATTTTGCTCTTGTGAATTTAGCAATCTCAGTGATATTTACGCATCGGCGATTTTGCCCACTTTGAGTCCTATTTTTGGCCAATTCCTTTGTTCCAGTCGACCAAACTCATAGCTATTTCTTTAGAACTCTATTTGCTCTATTGATTGAGTACAAGAAACCACTCATTTACCGATTTCAACTACCCAATAAAGTGGTCAGAAATTGGCAATTTGGCCAATTTCACGCAAGTTAAAAAAGATGCCAGTTTCAAAAAAGGGTCCAGAATGAACAATGCAGACATTCCTGCACTAAAATAACATTTTCTCTGTTCATCAGTCACGTCTCCAGGCCCCTCTTATATTACTCTTGCTTTCTATTTGAATTTTTATTCACACAAAAAATAAAAGATTTACTGTTATGCAGACTACTGCATTATTGTAATACAATAATTGTATAAATAATGTCAACCCATTTTTGACTGCTAATTGGACACTTACTGGACAATGTTTACATTTGTTTACTTTTGAACATTGGCAAAAATCGAACATTTCCTCTACTTTGAGCTCAATTTCAAGGTCCTTTCCATCTTGAAACCAATCAGAATCATTTCTATTTCTGTAATATGTCTTCTATTCTATCAAATGAGACCAAGAAAATGAGAATACGACAATAAATACTATACGAAAATCCACCTTGAAGTCAGCATTTTAATCCAGAAACACGGCCGGAGTCTTTTTTCTTATTATGCACTACATCCTGCAGGATTTTTTTTTATACTGCACACACTGACCATACAGACCCATTCTCTCCCGCTTGATTTGAGGCCCCTAGAATTTTGGAGTATAAATACGTCAGAAACACTGGCTCGTAAGATGTACATGTATATATATGACCAAAACAGTCAAAGGGTTAATGGACTAATGGAGGGGGGGAAGGGTATCTGTTATAGCAATTTCTGTTGAATCTGAATTAATAGAATATTTTTCTTTGATCATAGCAGTAATGGCCAATTTTTATATTAAACTGAGTTCATTAAATTTGAAAATGAATTTACCCAGCTAACCACAATAGTAATGGATAAATCTGGATTTAACAGTCTTTGTCTGTTAAATCCGAAATGAATCTGCATAGCAAAACAAGAATAACTAGCAATTCTCAATTTAACAGACTTTGTTGCTTCAAAATATTGTCTGGCCATAGAAAACAAAAGTTCTTAACATTATGTGGCTGTAAATGCTATGCAACTCTTGCAGACCTTGCTGGAGACTGACCTCATCTTGAACCTCTCTAATGATGGCATTCAGTTGTACTTTGATCCTGTGTGTCAAAGACTCAAGATTATTGAAGTGTTTAATATGAAGGCAGTGAAACTAAAATACTGGTGAGTCATCCTTATATGTGTGTATGTTTGATGTCCGAACAGATTGGTGCTTTGTATTAGTCACTGCATGCATGCGTGAAAACACACACACATTCATGCACACAAATTCACACTCATTCTATACAGTATATCCATACATTACAGTATATACATACATTTTTTCAAATGTTTCTTGACAGTTATATTTCATTATTTAAGGTAAACACCAATTTAATGTTTTTAATGTTAAAATGTTGTTTCAATTTTCCTTGCAGTGGGATTCCTTTTAATTCACCGGAAGTTGTCCCAAGCATTGAACAAATTGACCATTCATTTGGGGCCACCCATCCTGGCATTTATGACTGGGAGCGCCAGATTCTTGCAATCAACTTTCCAGGGCTCTCTTTCTTCTTCTCCGTAGATCAGAAATACCAGGCAAGTACTTAAGAAGTGAAAAAATAAAAGCTTATCCATAAATGATTACAATAGTATCTGTATTCCTAATAAATGCATCATTTGCTGGTGTGTCCTCAAATAATAGTGAGAACTGAACAGGTTTTGATTTTATTAGATTGATTTACATTTATAATTCATTACTATATTTAGTTTGTAATGGAGATATACAAATGATAATATGGTAATAAGTTTGTTAATTAATGTTTATGTATTTCAAATTTATTAATATTCTTGCTGCTGTAGCTGTTGCATCTCCTCTTGCTACTGACCCTGCTGCTCTTTTCCTTCCAGTTGCTCCTGCTCTTTGCCCTCTTGCTCATGTTACTCCCTCTTTTATACTCCTCCTCATCCCGTTCTTCCTGACCTTTCCTCTTAGTCCTCTCTCTCCTCCCTCTCCCCATCCTCCTTTCCCCTTTCCTGCCCCTCCTGTTCTTTCCCTCCTGCTCCTATTTCTGTTCCTTTCCCTTCTGCTCCTCGCACTTGCTGCTGTTTCCATTTCTGTTTCTTTCCCTCATATTTCTCCTTTTCTTCCATATTCTCTTGCTGTTCCTTCTCCAGGTTCTCCTGTTACTGTGTTCCTCCTCTGACTCCTCCTTTTTACTACAGCTAATCCTCCTGATCATTTCCCTGCCTTTGCATTAATCAGTTTAAATATGTATTTTCTAAATCTATTAGCTAAATAACTCAGCTTGTCTTTTATTATTTTTTCTCTTAGCCGTGCCTAAACAAGGGCCTAGGTTCACTGCAGTTTCCCAGTGGAGCATCCCCAGTGGTGTCTAAGATGCTCATATATAGTGGAAACAACCCAAATGATACAAGAGCACCACCTTTGCCACCCTCCTGCATTCACAACCTTATACACCTAGAATCACTCTTGGTTCTCCGAGATATGGGAAAAACAAAGGGCCTGAAGCTCAGTCTTTTTACTGATGATGGTATGTGCTTTTTCTTTCATGCAAATATTCCCAGTAGTAATTTTTTTATTTTATGTGAAGTGCTAAATTTACATGGATCGCTTGAGGCCATGAATGGTAGAGTCTCAATCTGCTGTCCATTAGTTGTAACTCGCTACCGTTCAGTGTACAGTAACACACTTACAGCTCCACAAAATGGTTCTTAACATTTTTTATTATAGTATAGAAAATAATTTTTGAGAGCAGTTTGAAGCTGTTTTCAGTTGGAGTTAATAGAAATTTGAAGAGCAGTGCTAATTCAGGGTGTATGCAGTAGTAGAAATAGCCTTGGCCTATATACCTTCTGTCAAATGGACTACAGCCTCTCCTCACTTAACAACGAGTTCCGTTCCTAAGACCACATCATTAAACGAATTCGTCGCTAAGTGAGGAGCATACTCTAATGGTACTGGGTTTGTGTCAGCCATCTTTGATATTGTTCTAATGTCACCTTTGCACCATTTATAACATTTCTGGTATATTTTTAAATGTTTATACAATAGTGTACTGTATATTGAAATAAACAGAATAGAGGAAATTATGTGTGTATGGATTGATTTTTAGCTTCTTTAATTGAGAGGTCATGAAGGGCACCAGTGGGTTTCTGTGGGTAACCACATGGGTATGAACTTTTCCATACTAAAAAATCTAAATGAGCCGGTTCAGGGCTTCCTGTCCTTGTCTCCTTGTTTCAGGTGAGGGGCTCTTGTTTCAAGGAACTGGACTTTCATTCTCTTTGGATTAAACCTGAATGCTTCCCTAATATTACTCAGGTGTTATATGACCCCAACAGGTTTAATTCTTCCCCTCATTAACCCTTTAACTGTGTCTGTCGAACTAGTACGCACCATTTTTCGTACCCACAAATCTGCCACTTGCCAATATTTTTTACCTCAGGGCAACTTTTTGGGTCTTCCATCTGTTCATACATTTAAAAAACCTAAGGCCAGCAGGGTGCATACAGTGTATCCTGACTAGCTACTCAGGTGATGACTGCATGTCCTACGTACTAGTATGCCTCACTACCTAATGTAAACGAAGGAACCAGGAGCTGCTGTTCCATCACCAGTTTCCCTACTAACCAACAGAGTGTGCAAGTGGCTCAAAGATGACTTACTCAGTCCAGATTTATTATAATTTTATAATACTAGCTGTGAAATTTAGCTACAAAGCACATTAGGTATATTTAACTACTTCAGGGTCTGTGCTGTTAATCTATGGTTTTGAACTTTGGATCAGTGCCGTAGTTCTACGCCATGAGCTCAGCTCACTCAGATAAGCTATGAGCAGCAAATATGGGCCTAAATATGAGAGAATGGGTCTGTGTGATAAGTGTGCACCATATTAAAAAATCCTGCAGCCTGCACTGCATAATGAGGAAGAAACTGCCACCGTGTTTTTAGTTTAAAACAGCGATTTTGCTGTGTATTTTCCTATGGTTTTTATGGTTGTAATCACGGTTTTTTGGTCTAGTTTGATAGGATGGAAGTCGTGTTACAGAAATAGAGATAATTTTGATTGGTTTTAGGACTGAAAAATAGCTTGAAATTGAGCCCAAAGTAGCAAATATGTTTGATTTTTGCCAATGTTCAAGGGGTAAACAAATCACATCATGCATCCAGTACACATCAGCTGATGGGTCTGATATGAGTTCAGGAATGCACTGATACTATTTATACAATAATTAAAAAAAAAAAAAAATACAATATTTCATAACAGTAAATCTTTTATTTTTTGGTGTGAATAAAAATTCTTTATGTGAATAAACAATCAAAATGTGTAAAGCCTGGAAATATAACTAATGAACAGAGGAAATGTTATTTTAGTGCCAGCAATGCCACCATTATTTATTCTGGACCCTATTTTGAAATTGGAATATTTTTAAATTTATGTGAAATTGGTCAAATTACCAATTTCTGATCACTTTATTGGTTAGTTGAAATAGTTGATTGGGCACTTTCTTCTCCTCAGTCGATAAAATGAAAGGCATACGTGCAAAACAGATAATAATTTGGTTGACTGGAGCAGTAATTGGTGTAAAACAGGACTCAAAGTGGGCAAAATCGCCGCTGCGTAAATATTGCTGATACAGCAAAATTGGCGATAGTGTAATTTCATCAATTTTCCATCAAATTTTGTACTTTGTTTTATTGCCTTCAGAAAAAGGTGTGAAGATGGTACTGTATACACTTTTTTGGCTATGATATCTTGAGACTGGTTATTAATTAAATTTTGTAATTGTTCCATTATGGGACACTTGAGTTCTCCTGTCTTAAGAGACAGGGAAACTCACGTGCCCATTAAACCCTAAATGATTTAATGATGATGCCAATATTATTATATTTATTACTTATTTCTTTTTCTGTCTCATAAACACGCTAGATAACAGGGATATCTTGCTACTCCTACTTACACTTTGGTCACACTTCACAGACACGCACATGCATATATATATATATACATACATCTAGGTTTTTCTCCCTTTTTCTAAATAGCTCTTGTTCTTCCTTATTTCTTCTATTGTCCATGGGGAAGTGGAAAAGAATCTTTCCTCCGTAAGCCATGCGTGTTGTATGAGGCGACTAAAATGCCGGGAGCAATGGGCTAGTAACCCCTTCTCCTATAGACATTTACTAAAAAAGAGAAGAAGAAAAACTTTATAAAACTGGGATGCTTGAATGTGCGTGGATGTAGTGCGGATGACAAGTAACAGATGATTGCTGATGTTATGAATGAAAAGAAGTTGGATGTCCTGGCCCTAAGCGAAACAAAGCTGAAGGGGGTAGGGGAGTTTCGGTGGGGGGAAATAAATGGGATTAAATCTGGAGTATCTGAGAGAGTTAGAGCAAAGGAAGGGGTAGCAGTAATGTTGAAGGATCAGTTATGGAAGGAGAAAAGAGAATATGAATGTGTAAATTCAAGAATTATGTGGATTAAAGTAAAGGTTGGATGCGAAAAGTGGGTCATAATAAGCGTGTATGCACCTGGAGAAGAGAGGAATGTAGAGGAGAGAGAGAGATTTTGGGAGATGTTAAGTGAATGTATAGGAGCCTTTGAACCAAGTGAGAGAGTCATTGTGGTAGGGGATCTGAATGCTAAAGTAGGAGAAACTTTTAGAGAGGGTGTGGTAGGTAAGTTTGGGGTGCCAGGTGTAAATGATAATGGGAGCCCTTTGATTGAACTTTGTATAGAAAGTTATAGGTAATACATATTTTAAGAAAAAGAGGATAAATAAGTATACAAGATATGATGTAGGGTGAAATGACAGTAGTTTGTTGGATTATGTATTGGTAGATAAAAGACTGTTGAGTAGACTTCAGGATGTACATGTTTATAGAGGGGCCACAGATATATCAGATCACTTTCTAGTTGTAGCTACACTGAGAGTAAAAGGTAGATGGGATACAAGGAGAATAGAAGCATCAGGGAAGAGAGAGGTGAAGGTTTATAAACTAAAAGAGGAGGCAGTTAGGGTAAGATATAAACAGCTATTGGAGGATAGATGGGCTAATGAGAGCATAGGAAATGAGGTCGAAGAGGTATGGGGTAGGTTTAAAAATGTGGTGTTAGAGTGTTCAGCAGAAGTTTGTGGTTACAGGAAAGTGGGTGCGGGAGGGAAGAGGAGCGATTGGTGGAATGATGATGTAAAGAGAGTAGTAAGGGAGAAAAAGATAGCATATGAGAAGTTTTTACGAAGTAGAAGTGATGCAAGGAGGGAAGAGTATATGGAGAAAAAGAGAGAGGTTAAGAAATGTAAAAAGAGAGCAAATGAGAGAGTGGGTGAAATGTTATCAACAAATTTTGTTGAAAATAAGAAAAAGTTTTGGAGTGAGATTAACAAGTTAAGGAAGCCTAGAGAACAAATGGATTTGTCAGTTAAAAATAGGAGAGGAGAGTTATTAAATGGAGAGTTAGAGGTATTGGGAAGATGGAGGGAATATTTTGAGGAATTGTTAAATGTTGATGAAGATAGGGAAGCTGTGATTTCGTGTATAGGGCAAGGAGGAATAACATCTTGTAGGAGTGAGGAAGAGCCAGTTGTGAGTGTGGGGGAAGTTCGTGAGGCAGTAGGTAAAATGAAAGGGGGTAAGGCAGCTGGGATTGATGGGATAAAGATAGAAATGTTAAAAGCAGGTGGGGATATAGTTTTGGAGTGGGTGGTGCAATTATTTAATAAATGTATGGAAGAGGGTAAGGTACCTAGGGATTGGCAGAGAGCATGCATAGTTCCTTTGTATAAAGGCAAAGGGGACAAAAGAGAGTGCAAAAATTATAGGGGGATAAGTCTGTTGAGTATACTTGGTAAAGTGTATGGTAGAGTTATTATTGAAAGAATTAAGAGTAAGACGGAGAATAGGATAGCAGATGAACAAGGAGGCTTTAGGAAAGGTAGGGGGTGCGTGGACCAGGTGTTTACAGTGAAACATATAAGTGAACAGTATTTAGATAAGGCTAAAGAGGTCTTTGTGGCATTTTTGGATTTGGAAAAGGCGTATGACAGGGTGGATAGGGGGGCAATGTGGCAGATGTTGCAGGTGTATGGTGTAGGAGGTAGGTTACTGAAAGCAGTGAAGAGTTTTTATGAGGATAGTGAGGCTCAAGTTAGAGTATGTAGGAAAGAGGGAAATTATTTCCCAGTAAAAGTAGGCCTTAGAGAAGGATGTGTGATGTCACTGTGGTTGTTTAATATATTTATAGATGGGGTTGTAAGAGAAGTAAATGCGAGGGTCTTGGCAAGAGGTGTGGAGTTAAAAGATAAAGAATCACACATAAAGTGGGAGTTGTCACAGTTGCTCTTTGCTGATGACACTGTGCTCTTGGGAGATTCTGAAGAGAAGTTGCAGAGATTGGTGGATGAATTTGGTAGGGTGTGCAAAAGAAGAAAATTAAAAGTGAATACAGGAAAGAGTAAGGTTATGAGGATAACAAAAAGATTAGGTGATGAAAGATTGGATATCAGATTGGAGGGAGAGAGTATGGAG